CACCACACACACACACTTTTTCTTTTTGATTGGTGGTGTAGTGTGTCGGCGATTCAATCCTGTAAACTCAAAGGTTGGAAACCTTTGAAGGTTGATAGTGAAACACACAACTCATAAAATCATTTCATTACACAATGCACAAAAAGAGGGCAATGCATACTTTAGGTAAATAAGCATCACAAAAATAGGTTTTGTAAAACACCGACCTCGTCTTAAGGAGTAATAGTGACAAATATAGCAAGCCGTCAGCAAAAGTTTGGTAAAACAAAGGCCCAACATCTCAGGGCTAATGAATATTAGCATATTCATTCCATTCTTCACTTGGACCTCCACATAGTGCAGCAAATGCCCGGAATGGAGCATCATCTCTGATATCAACCAACCTCGTCTGATATGGCAGATCTTCAGCCTGGTGAGTGACAATGGGGCTGAATGTGCCATGACAATCAGTCACAATAAACATCTGTGCGATCTGGCATGACAGAGTGGAGTATAGAACAGGAGGAAATATTCCAGCAAAGGCATATCGATCACCATCATGCTTAACTTTGAAAGTCCACCAAGCGGTACCAGTTGTATCGTGGATATCAATGGACTTGAGAGGAATTCCAGCATTCTTCATGTGAGGAAGGATGCTGCAATAGCGTGCGATAGGGAATTCCTCGCAGGAGCAACCTTCATTCTCAGTTCCCTCGGGATATGTTGGCACAACGGTCTTAATGTTCACAGTCATCTCAGTATTGAACACACCAATGTTAGAGATCGCCTCAGCAAAAGGGACGGGCAACTCAATATTCTTTGTGTATCGAGCAGAATTTGTATACCTGTCGGAATCAGTTCCGAAGGTGCGGTGAATGTTACGCAGCTTTGCATAGAGCGCGGACATGCACACGTCAGCCGTTACAGTAGCGTGATCTGCAACTTCAGCATCTGCAATCAGCAATACTATTAGAAAACTCAAAATGATATTGACATAAAACAAACATGCTTTACAGAGTAGTCTAAAGCAACAAGCGCAGCAAAGTGTCAAAGTCCGTTGGGGATTAGTGCGAAGAACAGTTAAAGCGTGAGCTTTAGCCGAAAAAAGCGCCAGTAAAAAAAATAAAAATAAAAATAGAAATGTAATACAAGGAAATGTACCTTTAGACAAACAATAATTATTTGGACAAAAAGAATGGAAGATCTATCATTAAACTATATAGATGCAATTAAAATCAAATCAATCAAGTCCAACGACCATTTTAAAATTTTGATGTAGTTGAAAGACGTAGTTACAGGTTTGCAGTGGCTAGTTCTCGTATACCAAAATTTAAAATTTCTTTTTCTTAATGACTAGAAGTTCAGTCATGATATTTTCTTAACAACAAATGTATCACTTTGTCAACTATATATATTGTCTAGTCTTGTACTCTTAAATACTGAACCCATCGATGAAGATGTGCACGACTTAGCAGTTAGCACCTTGGCGCCTACACTAATGAGCCAACAAAGCGAGGTGGAGCGCACAACTTGGGCTTCACTAGCTTCAGGACTTGAGCCTTTAATTAACAAAATGGATGCTTTATAAATCAAATAACAGCAGCTACTACTACTAGGCCTCACTGGCCATGTTTTTCCATTTAAGCTCAACTCCCGTCTTCATCATACCAAATAGAAAATAATTCGGAGTTACCTATGAACCTCTAATCATTTACATTTGAACTTGTTTTCTCTGCGTATAGGTATTTCTACACTTAAGCAACTCACTTTAGAATGTGTAGTCTTATGAAATTGCCAAGGATAAGGACCTACCATAGTTTCTTTAAATAAGCGTATATCAACATAAGAAAAAACAACTAGCTAATGGGGCACTAAAGTGCAACATAAGTTATCTTTATTTTGAGACATATGTGTCATAAAGACAATGAAACCTCAACTCTTATGTAAAATTACGGTGTTTTGATTACAACAACAACAATAACCCAGTCAAAATCCCACAAGTAGGGTCTGGGGAGGGTAGTGTTTATGCAGACCTTAGCACTACTCTGGACCTCCGGAATAGGGAAACTATTTCCATAGACCCTTGGCTCAAGAAGATGGAAAGAGACAGTGGAGCAGTACCAACAACGTAATAATCAAAAAAAAAAAAAACAATAACAACAAGCAGTAACAATGGAACTGTACGAGCCACTAACAGCCTAAGACAAAACACTATTAGACTAGCCTCCTGCACCATAATAAAGTAATATGGACACAATCTGAGCCACAAGCAGCCTAAAACAAAACACTATCAGACTAATCTCCTATCAAGGGCCATGTTTTCCAAAAATTAGTGTCTTTTGATTAAAGAGGTAAAATAGAAATTGGCTTTGAGTGAATGTGGATCACATTAAAGAAGAATCAACTTACAATCAACGTCCATAACTTCGTTACGAATGAGGCGGTATTTGTAGTACATTTCAAAGACATCTCGCATGGCTTCGCGAATGACAGAAGGAACTAATTCATAGTAAGTGATTATCGGCACACGCTGGCCCGGTGGCTTTCGCAAGCCAAGAACGTTAGCATCACGCAAACTCTGCATAAACGCTGGAGAGATCGATAAAGACAACCTCTCTGGGTCCGTAGAAGACAACCTCTGTGGGACCCGGTGAAAGTATTCGACAAAATCACCTACCGATCTCACTTGTGTATCGACACGTTGTCTCTTTATGGAAGTTCCAGCACCTTGTGTATCCATTGGAGAAGGTTGATTAAAGCTTATTAGGTGAAATCACATACTATTAATTACTCGACGTTATCGCGGTAGAGGCGGCTGATAAGGACATCGCTACAGAAAGTCAAGAAGTATACATATGGAGCTGCCACTGGCTCCAATTTGAGATATATAGCTGTCAGTCCAACAAGAATCAAGCAATTTCGATCAAACCAGATTAAAGTTCTTCAATTGGGAAAAAGAAACTGTTTCGAATGAAATGATCAATTTTTGGAACACCGTAAACAAGATTAAATAAACAAACAATTTTATTAAATAATTTATTTATTTAAAACCCTAATAATCTAATCTTCACGTATCTCAAAGAGAAAAAGTAAAAACACGCCTTTACAACTTATTTATGTATTAAACTAAATAAAATAAATAAACTAAATGAAATAAATGGTGAATACCTAAATTTACATAAACAAGTGCTTCCTATGTCCCATTTTATACATGACATTTTCTAATTTTCTAATTTTTAATTTGCATAAGAAAGAATGATATATTTTAATATTTAAAAATATTATAAATTTAAATTATTTTACTTTGATGAGGTGATTTATAATTACGTAAAATTTATACGGAAAAAGGTGAAAACCGCCTTTAACCTATTTGCTTTGGTTTAAAAAGACTCTTCGTCCACCTATTTTGATAAAACTGCCTCTAGCGTAAAAAAAAATATGTCACATACATGCCCTTATTTCTAACGAACCTTCTGGCAGTAAAATAAATTATTAAATGTGATGTGGCCATTTCTGATTGGTCATTAATTAAAACCCACCCCATACTCATATTTCATCTCCACCCATCACCCCAACTCATATTTCATCCCCACCCATCACCCATCTTTATCCATCCCGACCTATCAGAAACCCATTTAACCCTTCAAAACATTCAATTTCAATATATTCTTTACTTATTGCCTCTTCCATCTTCGATTAGGGTTCTGCAGATTCTCTGCTCTCATCTCTCATTTCCCATCTACTAACTCAAATATTCCTCTTCCATCTTCATTTAGGAGTTCAGCCTGTAAACATCTTTATTGTGAAGAAGTAATAGAGATTATTCTTACATTTACTTAGAAAATTATCATGCTCAAGAAAATTATTTGGACTTGCTATGTTAACATAATCTGCTCCATTCAATAATTCTTGAAAATGATTAATTTACGTAATGCCAACTTTACATCCCAACAACTACTGGCACTAAAAAAACGAGTAATTTGCGAAGGTTAGAAACCTCCGCTATTTACTGTCACGGCGGTTGAGCAGACCCCGTATTAAGCATCACCATTAATAATTTGCGGCAGATAAATGCAGAGGTTTCCCGAACCGCCGTGATAGAAAAAGGGAACCTCCGCAAATTGCAATTTTAACCTCCGAAATCTCATGCACGAAAATAGATTTTTATTTGTTAAATTTAATTTATTTATTTTCTTAGTGTAGGAGTTGTTCTTATTTCTTTTTGGGGGTTTTAACCCTATCTATTTTTAAATATATTATGGAATTGATATTTTATCATCAATATGCCATATTTTTCTCTATGGAATTGTTTTTATCACAACCAAGTTTCTTGCAGTTGATCAAAGGAGTCTCGGGTGGTGATGATTCTCTCTAAGGAATTCTATGTAAACATCTAGAATCAAGAACCTGTAAATTTGATTGTCTGACTTGTTCGAGAAAGTTACTCAATTGAAGACCCGAGAGTTATACATTTCAGTTATACTCTAAAGTCCTATACATCAACGAAAGGATGTTGATTACATATTCCATCGACAATCCAATGATGTGAAGACACACGTTTAGCACGCTTATTGGATGTTGCTTGTGGTGGTGTGGGATTAACATGCGGTTGAAATGAATGAGTTGGTAGTGACGTAGTCTGAAATAAAGGAGTTGTCTATCTTGTGGCCAGAAATGAAAGAGTTTGTTGTCTTGTAGCATGAAATGAAAGAGTTGGCAGTGTTGTGGCCTGTAATGAAGCGGCTTGCTATCTCGTGGCTTGGAATGAAGGAGTTGGTAGTGATGTCGCCTGAAATAAAGGAGTCAGCTCAATGAAAGGAGTTGTCTGCCACATGGCCTGAAATGAAAGAGCTTGCTGTCTTGTGGCCTGACATAAAAGATTTGGCTGTCTTGTGGCTTGAAATGAAGGAGTTGGTAGTGATGTTGCCTGACATGAAAGAGTTGGCTGTGTTGTGGCCTGAAATGAAGGGGTTTGCTATCTTGTGGCTTGAAATGAGAGATGGTAGTGATGTTGCCTGACGTGAAGGAGTTGGCTGTGATATAGTCGGGAATGAAGGAGCCAATGGTGGTCATATCTGGTGCCGCATCAATAGATTGTGAAGGAGGCGTCGATTGAACTGACATTTTCAAGTTCTAGAAACATCTGGTCTTCGGCATATCTACGATCAACAAAAAAATTAATGAGTAATAGAAAATAAAAAATAGAACAAAATACAAAAAGAAGTACATATTTATAGAAGAAAAACATTAAACAAACAAAGATACACGAAAATTGACATGCATATTCAGACATGCTGATCTATTGCAATTTTGATATTTTCATAAGCAACATCAAAAAATTGTTCAAGTTCTTGTTGCTGGTATGGTTGATTCTCATATATTTTATTTTCATCAACATCTCCCATATCAAATAAATCTCACGATTTTAGATGTATAGCCACACTCCATTCTTTATCCGTTTCATCATCAACATAGTAAATCATATTTTCTTGAGATGCTTCAATGTAAGGATCATCATCCTCACGATAACGTATATGAATCAATCTATAAAAATTAACACAATTAAAATTTCAAGCATCTCTTTTGAACCCTCTATTCCGAGTAGTGTCAGCCCACTGGCATTTGAAGAGCACAACTGTGAATCAATAATAATTAAGCTCAATAATATCTTCTAACTTCCCATAGTATGGTAAGTCTGCTTGCCTTGCACTTTTATCAGCACTAGATGAAACGTAAAAGGTGTCAGAAGTAAGAAAAACTCCACTATTTTGAGTTTTCAATCCTTGATCTCTAGACAGAACTCGAAATTTGAATCCATTGATGTTATAAGCAATGAACCTTCTAGCATTTGGCGCTGGACCTCGTGCTAGGAATTTCAGATCAGTAGAGATGGTGTATGTAATTATGGGTTCATAATCTAATAATAACAAACTTATTTTAGTCAAGCATATTGAATCCAAGAAGAAAAGCTATGTGAAGAAAAAATTATTATACCATTCATCACCTGTTTTGGGAACGAATCAGAAAACTCTCTATCAACTGTCCTCTCTAAATCTGATGTTGGAGGTCTCCGTCCTTTTGTGCTCTTTCTTATGTGATCCCTAAACTCACTTCAAATGAGCTAACTATATCAAATTTAATTATTTCTAAACTTTTGCCAATATTCATATCAATTTTATTTACTTACTCAGTAAATGGCTTCACTGCTGCACAATTAATTAACATATATCGATGAGCTTGCATCTTCAACAATGAAGTCAAGGGGAACGTTGAGGAGCCTCCAATTGGTTTACCTTGTGGAGAGAAGATAGAGGACATTCCAGAAGGCTCATTAAGATGGCGTTCATCATTCATACGTCTAGGCCTCTTCAGCCTTGACTCAATCCCCTCAAAGTAACGCGAACAAAAAGTTAGAGCTTCTTCAACAATGTAATCTTCAGCTGTGGAACCGTCTGGTTGTGCCTTATTCCCTACGAGGGACATAAAATGACCTAACAATCTATAACATAAAATGAAACAGGTTTAGAATAAACATTGAACTTGAATTAATATTACAGATATCAAAATTTCGAATAAGAAATATTTTAGCTTTCAACAAAATACACCCACATGTAATTTATAGGACCACCTTGTATTGCTTCATCTACTAGATGGATAGTTAAATGGACCATTACAGTAAATAGCGATGGTGAGAATACTATCTCCAAGTGGCAAAGTGTGAGCACAATGCAATCTTGTAACTTTTCTAGATTCGCCAAACTCAAACTTTTAAGACAAAGTTCTCTTAAAAAAGAAGAAAGCTCTACTAAGACTGCAACAGCCTTCTTTGGCAGCACATTGCGAATTGCTATTTGTAGCAATTGACCATAATAATGTGACAATCATGACTCTTTAATCCAAAGATTCTCCTTTGGTCCGGATCGATGCAACCAAAAATATTACTCGAGTAACCATCTGGCACTGAAATATTCTTTAAAGTTGTGAAGAAGGCAACTTTCTTTTCCTTTTGGAATGGTAAACACAACAAGTCGACACGCATCATTCTCGTCATGCCAAAGATCATGCCTTATACCTGTATCTTGCAGATCTTTCTGTGCCTTAATATTATCTTTTGACTTATCTTTATCATTGAGCAAAGAATATATAATACTGTCAAACACATTCTTTTCGATGTGCTTGACGTCTAAATTCTGGTGCAACGAGTTGAACTTCCAATATGGAACATTAAAGAATATGTTTTTTTTCCTCCATTCTTATATTGCACCTTGCCCAATATTTCTTTATCTAGATCTTTTTCTTCACTCATTCAACTCAACCGATTTTTCAAATGTAACATCAATACATTTCACTTGTTGTAAAATATTCCGTATAACTTTCTTGGTGGGTTTCTTTCCTCCACATTTCCATCAATCCTCATCAGTCTAAATTTATGAATTATTGCTAAAATCTACGATGACCAATAAAGCACCACTGGCGAAGCCGACAAGGTTCTGCATCAAATTTACAAGTGGGACATGCTAAACCAGTATGTGAGTACCAACCAGACAAGATATCGAGTCCAGGAAAGTCACTAATTGTCCACATAAGAGCAGCTCGCAATCTAAACATCTCTTTCTTTGATGAATCAAAAGTTTCGACACCTTCACTCCACAACACATTCAACTCCTTAATCATTAGCGTATGTAGGAATTTTTATAAGCGGTATCACTATTTTAGACGTGAACAAATAAAAGATTACTGCAATAATATCATCTTTAAAAAAACAACCAGGAAAAAAAAACACAGATTACAATGGAGCATCCCTCCAATTTAAAAAATGTTTTGTGCTAGTCACGTAGTATATGTTTTAGATGTGGTACAAAAGTAACATTCAATGAGGACACACGGGTTCAAACTTACGACCCTGCATAAAAATCTTCAGACTTTGACCAAATAAGCTAGACGCCTGTTTGTAACAAATGGTGTCACTTTATTCAATTTAAGTGTTTTGTTGATTCTTCATTTAAATTATATACAAATAATTAGAAAAGGTTTTCTACGAAGGGGTGTCACGTGACACCGCTTGGGCGAAGGTAGATCCGCCCCTATCCTTAATAAAGGGTTGTAGGTAAACATCTATGTTATTTCTCGCCGTACGTGGACCAGAAATGATCATTGAAAGAATAAAATTGGGTTGTTTCATACACAACCAAGGATAAAGTTTGTATGGAACTAAAATAATTGGCCAAATGCTATAATTGGTACTCATCGTGCCAAAAGGATTGAAGCCATCACTAGCTAGGCCTAGTCGAACATTCCGAGGATCAAAAGCAAATTCAGAAAAAGTTGTAACAAACCTCTTCCATGCCTCACCATCTATAGTATGCCTCATGATTCCATCTTTCTTACTATCCTCAGCATGCCATCTCATATATTTTGCTATTTTAGATCACATGAACAATCTTTGCAACCTTGGTTTTAATGGAAAGTAACGCAAAATCTTTGCAGGCTTTTTGATTTTCTTCTTGGTTTTCTTCTTACGTGTAGCAGACACAAGATCTTCATTTCTCTTCTTGTTAGGCTTCCATCTAGAAGTGTAACAATACTTAAATGTTTCCTCATTAGAATCATTCACCAAAAAAACATACAATCATTTGGACAAGCATCTATCTTAATATTATCAAGACAAAACTTACTGATGGTTTTCTTTGCCTCATAAAAAGAATTAGGGATCCATGCAAATGTAAATATGTCCCTCAACAAATCTAGTAGCATGGTCATTCCCTCGTCAGTTACCTAAGACAAACACTTTATGTGATATTTTTTTTAAAAATTCTAATTTTGAGTACTTGGACCCTTCATACAATCTTGCTATTATTCATAATAGCAAGATTTTTTTCTTTCGTTTGTACAGTAGTTTGGATCTTTGGGTTCAATTCATTTTTGAATCTTACCCATAATCTTAATTTGTCGAATACATATCTGAAGAAAAGTTGGCACTAGCAGAGTGGTTTTGTTCTTTGTTCAAAAAATGAAGATATCTTCGCCGCCGTTAACGGTTTCGATGAGAAAACTTCTCCGTTCTCTACTATTTTGATCTTTTGGAATTAGGATTTTCGAAAACCACTTTTCAATTTTTTCAGTTGATCTCTATTTTGTTGTTCGTCTATAGGATTGATTTCTAGGGGTTTTCCATACTCTATGCCGGGCGCAAATCCATCAGTTGCTAAAAAAATCCTTTCTTTTCTGCTCTTTTGATTTTTTCATTTTAATACTGAAAAATATCTTCTTGACTGTTATAGTGTCAATAAATGATAATCTTGTCTATTTACGTTTTTTCAAGTGTGTCATCACCAGATTCGCGTTTTTCTGTCGCTGGTGACAGTCCGGACAGCCTATATTTTTCTTGGATACGTGGGTGTTTGTGTGTTTTGCAGGTATAACTTATATGGCTGTTTGGTGGCGGTAAGGAGGTGCACACGCACAAGAAGTAGAGCAACAGTTATGCGCCGGGTTCCGCAACATCCAGAGTATACCAAGTCGAAAGATCCAGGTTCTATTCACGGGAATTGGTACCTCCTACCTCCCATTTCTCTCTTTGTGTTAATCACTTTGTTGTCGTAGTATTTCGTACTAGTCTAGTCAGTCTAGTAGTGGACTTGTAGTTACTACTTGCCCCATTTGCTATTCTGTGTGGTATTTTTTTCTTCTTCATTTTTAGACCTACGTAGGTATAGAGCATGTGGTCTGTAATGGCAGAGTAGGTTCATGTTCTCAGGGAGGTCGGCGGATGGGGAGGGGGTAGGGCAAGAGGCAAGGGGTGGGACGGGGGCCAAAGCGGGTAAAGGGAACAAGGTCGCCTGTAGATTGAGAATTGGATCGTGGAATATGGGAACGTTGATGGGTAAGTCTATAGAGCTAGCAAAGATTCTCCAGAAGAGGAGGGTCAATATAGCGTGTGTGCAGGAGACTTGGTGGGTAGGATCGAAGGCGAGGAATGCAGCGGGTATAAATTGTGGTTCTCCGGAGTCGTGAAGGGAAAGAACATAGTGGGCATTTTGGCGGATAGGGCGCTCAGAGAGTCGGTGGTAGAGGTTAGGCGGGTGAATGACAGATTGATGGAGATAAAGTTAGTAGTAGGAGGGGGCATTCTGAATGTCATTAGCACTTACGCGCCGCAAACGGGCTTTAACGAAAAGGTTAGGAGGCTCTTCTGGAGGCAATGGATGGGGTGGTACAGGTATTATGCCTACGGAGAAGTTATTTATAGGAGGGGATTTCAATTGTCATATTGGGTCGTCTGCTGGTGGCTACAGTAAGGTGCACGGTGGTTTCGGCTTTGGTGATAGGAACGGGGGTGGTACCTCACTATTGGATTTCGCTAGAGCTTTTGAGTTGGTGAACGTGAACTCTATGTTTCCGAAGAGGGAGGAACATTTGGCTACTTTCCGAAGTATGGTGGCTAAACTTCAGATTGACTATCTTCTCCTCAGGAGGTGTGATAGGGGGTTGTGCGAGGATTGCAAGGTGATCCCGAGTGAGAACCTCGCGACTCAACATAGGCTTCTGGTGATGGACGTTAGTATCTTGATGAAAAGGAAGAAGAGGTTTGTATGGGGTCAGTTGAGGATCAGGTGGGGAGTTTTGTCTTAGGATAACACACGGGAGTTGGAGGGGCGGCTGATGACTATGGGTGCCCGGAAGAGTGGGGGGACGCTAGCGCTATGTGTACGACGGCGGAATACTGTATAAGGGAGGCATCGAGAAGGGTGTTTGGAGTTTTGAAAGGTTACTCTGGCGGGCACTGATATGATTGGTGGTGGAATGATGTGGTACAAGGTAAAGTGGAAACCAAGAAAGCGGCTTACCTTAAGTTAGTAGAGAGCACCGACGAGGATCAGAGGAGAATGAACAGAGAAAGATATAAGGAGGCTAGGAAGGAGGCAAAATTAGCAGTCACAAAGGCTAAGACTGCTACATTTGGTCGACTGTATGAGGAACTTAGGGGCAAAGTTGGGACAAGACGTTATTTTGGCTAGCCAAAACGAGAGAGAAGAAGGCTCATGACCTGGATCAAGTGAGGTGCATCAAAGACTAGGAAGGTCGAGTATTGATGGACGAGGCCCAGATTAAGCAAAGATTGCAGTCGTACTTTAATAAACTTTTGAATGAAGAGGGGGATGGAAACATCATGTTAGGGCAATTGGGGCACTCCGAGAGCCACCATGACTTTAGGTATTGTAGGCACATTAAGGTTGAGGAGGTCGTGGGTGCGATGGGTAAGACGAGTTGGGGCAAAGCGACCGGACCAGATGAGATTCCATTAGAGTTTTGGAAATATGCAGGTAGAACAGGCTTGGAGTGGCTGACTAAGCTGTTTAATGTTATCTTCAGGACGAAGAGGATGCCTGATGAGTGGCGGTGGAGTACAATGGTTCCGGTGTACAAGAACAAAGTGGATATCCAGAATTGTAACATCTATAGGGGTATCAAGTTAATACGTCATACCATGAAAGTTTGGGAGATGGTGGTGGAAGGGAGGATAAAGAGGGCGGTGTCTATATAGGAAAACCAATTCGGGTTTATATACTACCGATGCTATCCACCTTATCAGGAGGTTGGTGGAACAATACAGGGATAGGAAGAGAGATTTGCATATGGTGTTTACTGACCTAGAGAAGGCGTATGGAAAGGTCCCTAGGGACGTCCTTTGGAGGTGTCTGGAGGTGAAAGGTGTGCCGGTGGCTTACATTAGGGCGATAAAGGATATGTATGATGGAGCTATGACTCGGTTTAGGACTGTGGGAGGTGACTCAGAGCCTTTTCTGGTGTATATGGGGTTACACCAAGGATCGGTGCTCAACCCATTCTTATTTTCCCTGGCGATGGACGCACTGACACACCATATACAAGGTGAGATGCCATGGTGTATGTTGTTCGCTGATGATATAGTTCTGATTGATGAGACGCGAGGCGGAGTTAATGGGAGACTGGAGGTATGGAGGCAGGCCCTGGAGTCTAAAGGTTTCAAGTTGAGTAGGACTAAGACGGAATATGTGGAATAAAGTTCAAGGACGTGGTGGGGGACGCGGATGTGGAAGTCAGGCTTGACTTTTAAGTCATCCTCAAGAGAGAAAGTTTTAAGTACTTAGGGTCAGTTATCCACGGAGATGGGGGGATCGACGGGGATGTTACACATAGTATTGGAGTGGGGTGGATGAAATGGAGGTTAGCGTCTGGAGTCTTGTGTGACAAGAATATGCCACCGAAACTCAAAGGTAAGTTCTATAGAGCGGTGGTTAGACCGGCCATGTTGTATGGGGCAGAGTGTTGGCCAGTCAAGAATTCACATATCCAGAAGATGAAAGTAGCAGAAATGAGAATGTTGAGATGGATGTCTAGGCACACTAGGCTGGATAAGATTAGGAATGAACATATCTGGGAGTGAGTGGGCGTGGCTCCAGTGGACGACAAAATGCGGGAAGCGCGGCTTAGATGGTTCGGACACGTGCAGAGGAGAAGCCTAGATGCCCCGGTTAGGAGGTGTGAGCGGTTGGCTTTGGCAGGTACGAGAAGAGGTAAAGGGCGACCTAAGAAGTATTGGAGCAAGGTGATCAGACAGGACATGGCGCGACTCCAGATATCCGAGGATATGGATCTTGATAGGAAGGTGCGGAGATCGAGCATTAGGGTTGTAGGTTAAGTGGTAGTTGAGCGGTTTCCTCTTTGTCCATGTTTCCCTCTTTGTTCCTGTGAGTATGATAGTGTTTTGTCTAGCACAACTAGCGATTTATGTAATGTTTCACACTTTTGCATAATTTGTGTTACTGGTTTTCCATTTATTTGTTATCTCTCACATTGCTGATATTATTTTGGATTTTTGTTGTTACGGATCTAGTGTCTATGAGCCGAGGGTCTTCTGGAAACAGCCTCTATACCCTCTTCGAGGTAGGGGTAAGGCCTGCGTACACTCTACCCTCCCCATACCCCACTGGTGAAATTTTACTGGGTCGTTGTTGTTGTTGTTGTTTCATCTCTAAGCAACTCAAAAAAGTCTTTGTCATCTGAAGCGGGCTCGTCATTTAACTTTTCTTCACCACCCCCTACTTGTGACGGACCTACATAATTCCCATCGTGCCTTAGGCCCCCAAATGCTTCATTGATCAATAATTCTACAAGATTTTTAGGAGGTAATGTATCTTGTATAACCTCAATATTTATAGAACTAGGCCGTACATTTCTTTTACCATGAATACTCAAACTGACATAATTTTAAGGGAATGGTTTGCAAATCAAATGATCGAGTGCTACATCTCTAGTATGCCACTTTGCAAATCCACATTTAGGACAAGGACATTTTATTCTATCTCCTATAACAGCATTAGTAAATGCAAAATCTAAAAACTGATTTAAATCAAATGAATATTCAGTGGTGTTACTTGGCTTCCTAATCCAAAATTTATTCATAGGAAAGTATTAACTTTCAAGTGCAGCTCATGAACTTTGCAGAATATAAAGAGAAAATATCAGTTCTCTATTATTAGACTACAGAATATTAACTATAAAGTAATAAATACATACAACAATCTATAATCATAAAACATTACCAAACTTGAAAATCCCCCCCAAAAAAGAAGGTATTTGCATAGTCATAGTCATATGTCCCAACAATAATAAGTAGATGCAAAGACATGGAAGTCAACAAACTATAAGCATCATGATAGGAAATGAATTAACTATAAGTTATCAAAAAGGAAACAATTTACTCTAAGATATTTGTCCGAAAGAATCTAATTTGGAGAAATTAGAATGCAAAAAGTCCTTGATCTAAAATATAATAATTTGATTTGTATCTGTCATTAGTTTAAAATTCACATATTGATATCCCAAGAAAGCGTCTGTCATTTAAAATTCTTTTACTGTATACGAAAATATGTGACCTATAAATATAGAAATCTCATAGAAGATAGAAATTACTTCAAAAGCTGCTTCAGTTTTTGAATTGCATTACAAGCAAATGCCAGTCCCTGTCAAACTCTTTAACAAGCAAAATTTCCAAAATCTATCTAATATCATTGTCAAACTTATGCTTATGCACATAGAGCAATTTTTGTACTAATTCATTTCTTTATATAGTACACAAAACTACAAATTTACAGTATGTCTATACTTTTTTAACTTTCTTAGCTGGAATATGAAAAATAAAGTGCATCAGAACACAACTAGTGTCTGAACTTTAGCCCTGCATTGCACAATAATGTTAAAAACTATCAGTGGCTCAATAATTTAACTTAATACACCAAGAAGAATCCATAATTATCCAAATACAAAATAACTTGAGGAAGACAGTCCCTTCTACCTAATAATTCGAAGTATACATCAGAAATGTTCAGTTTTCTCCTTGTACTGGAACAAAATGGATATTAGTACTGGAATGTACAAAAACAAATTTCTTACCTCCCACCCTACTCATATCAACAACCTCATCTGGAGCATAAACCCTAGTGGGGTATTCATAACCACCTCTTGTTACAAATGAATTGATAAACAACTCTCCCCAAATATTAATCTCAATTGGATCTGGGGTGCAAAGTGTCCGAAGAAAATCCAGTTCTTCCTATGGAAGTGTTATCACTCACGTCTCCCAACTAGAGAATACCTTGGAAAAGTCGGTATTCATGTCGACACAAACTGCCCAATATGCAAGAACATAAATGAATCCACAATGCACATCTTCTGGGAATGTACGGTGGCTCTGTTATTAAACTGTATTTGTAAACTAATTCTGGAAAAAAAGCAGAATAATGTATAAACAGAAAACGTAAAGAGATATAAATCAATTTGAGCCCACTGAATTCACAGTGTTTCATTAAGGAATTTAATCCCCTCCTAGTACCCAAGGTTATGGATTATTTCCTCCTAGGATAAAACGAGTTACACACTGCTATAGTGGTACTTCAAACCCCAATGTTTCAGCGAACACAAAGTTCCGTAGCAAATCACACTTAGTGTTGCTTTGTTTGATGGTAAAAATATGCAGAAGAATGAGGAGAAACTCAGAAAATCGTATAGAAATTCTGAGCAGAATAGTCTTGTATTTATAGCCAAAGTTGGGCTGAAATTTGAAGAGGTGCAACTCTTCAGAATGGCTGATTATGCAAAACGGCCACATCATAAATGCCATAACATAAATGGCTATTTACTCAACAATAAAGAGGGAAAATTGAAGGGTAATTAATTTTCTGTTACAAAAACAGAAAACTGAAAATTGGATAACTGAATTGGATTTAATATTAATATTTATTTTAATATTAATATTCTGTTATTAAAACAAATATTTAATAACATTTCTGTTAATATTTTACTATTAACAAATAAATTTGGTCCAAAAATTAATCAATCGATCGATTGACCAAATCCGAATCCGAATCCAAAGCCGAAGCCGAGCCGAGCGAGCGACGACGATGACGACGGTGCGAGGCTGCCTTCTTCTCAACTCTTTATGAGCTAGAAGAAGACAATTGCTTATATACCCATCAAAAATATTTTCCTCTTCCAATATGGGACAATGTCCCTTTGCCAAGGGAGAGAAACTTAAAATTTCACTCAAAATTTTTCATTTCCCTCTATTTCCCATTCACCCTCTTTTAAGTATTTAATATAATTAAACACATAAAACCCAACAGGCTCAACCCTTTTGGCAAACCATGGGGGTAGACCCAACAGGCTCAACCCTTTTGGCAAACCATGGGGGTGGCCATAACCAATCAAAGGAACAATGAACACTGGGTAAATTTTTTACGTACTAGGATTCCTAAAAAAACAAATAATTTCATCACATGGGAAGATTTTCCCTTTGTATTATGGGCTATTTGGCAAAACAGAAATGAAAACAACGTGAATAATACTAGCAAGCATATCAACACAACTAAAGTTATTAACCAAGCATTGGAATACCACTTGCTAACATCCAAGCCTACTACTAATAATGTAAAATTCAAGCTTAAAGTTAAGTGGCAGGCTCCTCCAAGGAATTGGT